GAAGGCGGGTCGGTCCTTGAAGCGGGAGTGAGCGTCCCGTGTGTGTGTGTGTGTCCCTCCCGGGGGCGGCCTCGGCACTCTGCCCGCACCCTCCGACATTTTCCGGACACCCGTGTGACAGCCCAGCCCTGGCAGGAGGGGGTCCTGCTCGCCTGAGGCCTCTGTCCCAGCTCGGCTCCCCCCAGCCGTGGGGACCGGCTCCGCGGGGGTAGGCCGAAGCTGCTGGTAAATGGCCGGAGTTTATTTTGGGAGCTTTCTGCCTGCGAAAGAAGTGGGGTTGGTGCTGGGGAAGAAGGGTTTGGGACGCCCGCGTTCCCCGGCGGTACCCCCGGCAAGTACGGGGGTTAGAGGCTAGAAGCCTGGGCCAGACCCCGCCGGGGGATGTCCCTGGAGGTGAGGGCCGGGGGAAAACCCTCGGGGTCCCATCTGGCTGCGGCGGGGGGTCCCTGCTGTTGTCAGTCAGTTGAAGGTCACTGCCAAAATTCAGCACTTCGCCACCCTCTCTCCTGCCTCGTGAGTGGTGTGCATGTTGAAATACCCCCTTCCTCGGCAAAGGCACTCGCGCAAATGACGCAAAAAAAAAAAAAAAAAAAAAAAGGCTTATTTGGAGTGTCCAGGCTCTGTGGTCAATTACTGCTGGTCTGCTGTGGATGGGGAAGGTGAGCTGTTTCCCACAGCGCTGGATTGGGCTAGTGTTTATGGTTGGCAGTGGGACGTGGGCAGAGAGTTACTTGTGGACAGTTTTGTTAGCAGGAGGAAGGAGAGGAGGAATGATTTTGCGGAAAATCCTCACTTCAGTTCTTTTCGCTTTCACCATGTGCCCACTTATAAAGGGGAGCACAGTTTGTATAATAATGAAATTCCTGAAACCCTCCTCCTTGCCCCCAACAGTCTTAGACTTCCAGTACAAAGTGGATGGTCCCTGCTTCTATGAATTTGTGATCCAAAAAAACCAAAATAATACCTGTAAATTGAGAGAGGGAAGGCAGTTGTAGCAATTTCTTAAAACTTTACTCCTCCTTTCTGCAGTGATCACTACAGTGCCTGCACAAGGAAACAGTTCGCCAGCTCAGAGTTTAGGACTTAGCTCTTGAAATGCAGCTGAGCTTTAGTTTCTTGCTTGTGTCCCAGCTCCACAGAGCCACTAGCACATGCAGCCTGTTGGTGAATGAAGAAACAGGAGAGTGAATAGCTAGTGCTGCTGGGATGACAGATATCAGCATATAATTTCAGTGTGGTTGGTTGGTTGCTGCCAGAGCAGCTATTGGTATTTCTCAAATGAAGAAATATAATCAGTTATTGAAAAATTGTTCTAACTTGATGCAGTTAATGCTGCATGTATTTGAAATATGGTATCTTCAGGATATCTTCTAAGTAGTGCAGAACATACAACATTTTAGAAAAGAAAAACCTTAGGATTGTTTAGTTCGAATGACTTGAAGCTCAGAAATAATTCTGAAAAATCATTTCTCATGATGGTTTTTTTTTTCCTGCTGTAGACAAGGTGCAGATTAGAAGGATTTTGAGTTATCCAAATCCAGATATATAGTCAGAAATGCTTAGACATGCTACATATCTTTTAAAACATACAGCCCTTTTATTTTTTGCTAAAATTTTTTTGCTAAAAATGCAAATCACAGGAAGATTTTAAAAAGCAGGCAGCTTGTCTTTCTTTGTAAATTGTCTGTAACATTTATTGTTCTGATTTCTTGGCTTACCTTACATATTTAGTTAAAAAACCCTTCCGCAAAATATGAAACACGTTTGCAGTGAGCTCCAGTACTTACTGTCGTTGCTGTTCTCATTCATTCTGTCTAAACGATCAATGTTTCCTTCTGGTTTAGCAGTATTGTAAAAGTAAGCTAAGGAAGTTGCCAGCTGGCTTTACCCAGCATTATTAGACTTGAGCTTAAGGCTAAAGGTCACAAAAGTTCTTTATGTGAAGCATGTGTGTAAGCGGGAAAGCAGTTCTTTGCTGCAAAAAGGTGGGGGGTTGCAAGCTTTTCCAGCGTGTCCCAAGCCTGAGGATTGGCACAGGGACTGAAAAGGAAGAACAACCCAGATTCCTAAACCCAGCCATATGGTGCCTGCTGCTGTCAGGAAAAGACAGACAGTTATAGACCAATTAATTGCTCTGTATCTTTTAAGCACTAGCTAGTTATGATGTAATCCTAAAAAGGCTGCAATACTATTGGTTTGTTTGTTTGTTTTTAACAAGGCTATATATTATCTTTTGCTATATTCTAAGTAGACAAAAATCTGTTCCTGGGATTCTTCAGTTGCTTTTTTCTTCACTGAGAGCAATGAAAACTTGATCTGTTGTTGACTAATAGCTGATTTGTTGTTTGTGGAATTATCAAAATCTAGATGAACAGCTTTAGCACTTCCCTGAAAACAAGTGGCAAACCCTGTCCAATGTGCATGTGGGTATTTACGTCTCTTGGTCCTGTATGTGAGTTAGGGTTGCAGGATATCCTTAAAGAGTACCGAGTGGAGGAGCTCAAGACCTCAAATACATTGTAGGTGTCTTCTCGTTAACGGAGCACTTAAATCTAGGCAAAAGGGGCTGATGTGAGTGCCCTTCATTGTGTGTTCTCAAGTAGTTTGATCCTAGAGCTTTCAGTGTAGAGCTCTACCACCTTTCAGCTAAGATGCGGATCTGGGCTGATGTTAGACTGTACAGAAATTTCCCATTAGAGGAGTATATGGCATGCATTCTAAGAACATAACATGTAGACCAGATCTCAAGTGATTAATGTGCGTTCCTGCATTTCAAACTGGTGAACCATCACAAAAGAGTCTAGAGTCTGACTTCACTGTTACATTTCAGTCCTTGGTTGTAAAGGAAAGCTTGAAGTGGACTCTACTGATGAGGAAGTGGTGATGGGCTTCAGAGGTGGATGCATCCAGATTCTCTTGGCCTTCACAGTATTAAGCTGTTTGCTTGGCAGTGAGAAGTGATGGTACATGTATGGAAATGGTTGTTTTCTTGGGAAATGCTATAGCTATCACAGGAAGAGTTGTCGCAATGAATTGAGTTTTAGTATGAGCACGTGAAAATAAAGAACAATACTTTCTGGAGAAACCCCTTCCAATGATAAATGTGCTATGATCAGAAGTGAAGCACCTTTAAAAAAAAAAAATCCAGTCAACTTCTGAGTGACAGAGAGGAACATACAGTGTGTTACCATCTTCTGTATTTGCAATTTGAAAACAACTGAGCAAAATTCTGATCTTCCGAACAAAGAGGTTTGAGCACCGTTCAGGAGTCACTTTGGAAGTGCTAGTATCATCAGCAGAAGCAAACTTGCGCAAGCAGCATCAATAGTGAGATGACATTTCTGATTAAGTTGTCTTTTTAATCATCTTCCAAATGTACCGTTATTTAATGTTTCTATTATGGTGATGCCATGAAGACTTAGTTACACCAAGAATCCTACCTTAACTTCATGCTGCACAGAGATTGCAAGTTGCACAGTAGCTCAGCTGCACGGCATGGTTGTTCTCTGCTGTATGTCAGAAGAGGTACAGAAATCTCTCTCCAAGTCTCTTTTTTCTGTGTTGGGATGCCAACTGAGCTGGTTCTGCTTCCTCTGCTGTTACTGAGTAGCTCTATCTACCCCTCTCTTCCCTTTCTTCCCTATAAGGCACAGCTAATGAAATGTCCTATACCCCCACACACCACTTTTTTTTTCCTCCTCCTCCTTCCAGTTCTGGGGAGAATTCTTACCTTCAGGATTTGCTAAGATATTAATGTAGAAAGGCCAAATGTCTTTCTGTTATTCACTTTGTTATTGAAATACCAGAAGTTGCTATGGTTAGAGTCATCAATATTTCCATTATAGATCTTTTTCATAAATTTCTGAAACTGAGCTCACCTAGTGTAAAACAAACGAAATCTTAAGTGGGGGGAAAAACATGTAATGAGCATACTCTTCCCTAATTATGAAATAAGGTAGGCTTGTCCTGTGTTGGGTGGGAAACTTGCCACAGTTAGGTACTGTAAAATTCTTAAATGTTGTAGTTTTTAAGAGTTTTATTTTCATTTATTTTGAAAGTGAAACTTGAAAGAAAAATGGATTATTGATTATGTTGAGAAAGCCTTTTGGAATCCTATTCTTGAAAACAGATAAAGTGAAAATCATTAAAGGGAATCCAGCTGTGACAGCTTAATAGGTTAAACTGATTCACTTTCACGTGATTAATTGTCATGCTGTCCCTTCAGAGGCATTTACAATATCAACTTAATTGCATGTACTTTCTATTTTCTTTTGTTTCAGACACTGTCAGTCTGCAAAATGATGATTCCAAGGAATTTCATTTTCTGTAGGAAACATGAAGATTGTGAGCTGAAGTAAAACTTTGGCAGAAATTTCTTGAGAACTTTGCCTTTTCCTCTTTGAAGGATTACGTTTACAAGAAATTGATACCATCAAGCAACACTGTTTCAAAATAAAGTAGTTTAAAAAACCCGTAAGAATAAAGCTGTATTTATGCTCAGAGAAAACTGGATTAACAATGAGGCCAAAGACTTTTCCTGCTACGACATATTCTGGAAACAGCAGACAAAGGTTACAAGAGATTCGAGAAGGTTTAAAGCAGCCATCCAAATCTTCAGGTCAGGGACTACCTATTGGACCAGGCAGTGAAACTTCTCTGGACCCTAAGATTTTAATAGGGAAGGATGCTGCAAGGCAGCAGCAGATGAGACAAACGCCCAAGTTTGGACCGTATCAGAAAGCTCTGCGAGAAATTAGATATTCTTTGCTGCCTTTTGCTAATGAGTCGAGCACTACAGCAACTGTTGAAGTAAATAGGCAGATGCTCCAGGAACTGGTGAATGCAGGTTGTGATCAGGTACGTATGAGTTTGGAGGGGGGGATTGTCACTGCCTTGAAAATAAGTATATAGTCAGGACTAAGGAAAGGATTTTGATGGAAGTTATCAAGCTTGCTGGATGACAAAATGCACCAATTCTTCTGGCAGTCATGTTGCTGTATGACTAGCAGAGTAGATGGGCTTGCATAGTATAGGGTTAATTCCTGTTAAAGACGGTCATGGTGACCTCTAGGATTGTCTTATGATTTTGCCAGTGTTTAAGACTGAACAGTGTAGCTTGTGGTTTTTACTTTTGTGTTTGGGGTTTTTTTCCTCCTTCTCTTTTCCTCTCAATACTAGAACAAGCCTTAGCTATGAGTATTAGGGTGGAATTTTGTCTAGCACATCTGAGCTCGGCTCACTGTCAGAGGCAACTAGAAGAAATCACAGAGGCAGTATATGGTCTTTGAGGAAGCTCACTTGCTGTTTGCCAGAAGCGGGTGGAACTGGCTGGATGTTCAGCAAGCAGCATTGGGTGCACACCTTTTCTTCCTCATCTTCTCTGCTTCTGTCAAGAAGTGGTAGCCCTGTCTCAGATAAGGGACTTGGCACAGAGATGCTTGCTTTTGTCATTCTGAGGTTGATGGTAAACTGTATTCTTAATTCAAAGACCATTCACCTGGTGCAGAACATGGTCTTTTTGTGTTGAGCTGTATTCATCTTGCATGTGTTTCCAGTGTTAGTATTGACTTTCACCTCTGTCCAGGAATAGTTCAATGTTTTGCTTTTTAGAAATGAAGTGCTGTTTTGGGTTCTGATTCTGACTGTTGTGGAAACAACTGTTTTTCCCTGTGTGATTGAATGGTAGCTGTTGACAAGCTGAAACATTTTCATTTATAATCCTTGATATAAACTGGAGAAATTTTAAACTGAAGTGCTTTCAGTGGTATTTCCTTAACCAAATTTAACCTTTACCTTTCCAAAACTTAACCTCCATTCATGCATGGCAGAGTGTGAGTTTCTTGACTCTCCTAGACCACGTTCTGCATCTGTATAATAAAACTAACATCAGGCGTTACAAACAGTCTGCATTGTTCTGGAGCTATATAGATGTTAATTAGGGCTGTTTCTATTCCACAGAGTTTATGCTATGTGAGATAATCAGAGCTAGAGTAGATTGCAGATCCAATGAGAAGTGCTGCAGTACAGCTAAATAGTTTCTAGTCCAGTGAACCAAGATGCTGTACTGAATTATTTAACTGGAGGAACCAAGGATTTTCTCTGATTTTAAGCATGCCATGAAAACACAGTGTTTTTTAGAACTCTACCCTCTAAATTTCCCTAGCTGTTTAGGATGAGAACACTCCCTGTGAGTATGAGCCAAGGTTAAATGAGCACAGCTGGATTCTGGATTGGAAATGTGCATTTGGTGGGTTTCATGGACAAATCATTCACACACAGAACAGGCTTGTTGGACAGAAATCTTGGAAAGTACTTTGAGCACACTACAGCACAGAAATGTTAAGCCAATATATAAAATAGAAATACCTGAGCACCTGTTAAAATGTCTTGGTATTAAAGGCAGTGTAATGCACTATATATGTAAAGTTTTTAGTATCTTTAGCTATTTTGACTTCAGTGTTCATACAATGGTATTACTTCTTATAGAGTACTGAGAATAAGCGCAGTTCTGACTCTGGTGTGGATGTTTTTGCTACCTCCTTAAATTTGTCTGCACGTTTTTGGTTGTGGGTTTGATTTTTTTTTCACCTCACTGGCCATGATCCTTCCACCCTCGTGTTTAGCTTTTCTCCCTAGCTGTGACTTGTTGCCTGGAGACAGCATTATTTGGCCTATCCCTTAGGTGTGTTTGGCATTTTAACCTAAGCATAAGCAGAATCACATTTGGCTAGAGTCCACATAGGCGTTCCAAAACTGGAGTCTTGTGGCTAAAAATGCTTGGTTTCCTAATGTGGGTCCAGGCCATATGAAGGCTGGCTGTCCGTCCTGGAGGGTTGTGAATGAATGGAGCTTCTTGAGATGATGTGAATGGTATCTGGCGCTGGGGATGGCGTGGTGTATGGTGACAGACTTGATTACTGCCTCTAGAATCTTCCTTTCTTCCTGGTGCTGAGCATTTTGAATCAAATGTTGAACTGTTTCAGAGCATGATGTGCAGTAAATCAGCCATCCCAGGCTACCCTGTTCCTGCTTGTGAATCAAAGCCTGTAAATGCCTACTGCGTGGGCATCACCTGTAGTCCTCTAGGCAGCAACAGATCTCTGATTTAACAGAGCAGCGAAGTCAGCTTCAGTTTCTTTGGGGCTGATTTTATTTACCCCTGGAGCCAATGCTAGTGTGAGGTTGGTTAATCGATATTGAAGCCCCCTCACCAAAATGCCAGGAGCAAATGTTTATAGGTTAAGGATTTAATTCCATGAATAGCTAATAGTCTAGTTGAGCCTTCCCCTGCAGCCAGCCTGTAGACAGCAAGGTCTTACACCTCCTGATCCTGCTACATGGTACACTAATCAGTTGTTTACGTCTGCAAGTGTCCTGAATTTGGCTACTTGTCATAAGAAGCTCTAATCATGAGCATTGTAGGAAGTTGTTAAGAATGAATAGATGGCTAACATTATTCAGTTTGATTTTATGTGAACTCCATTTTCAAGCTGGGTTTGGGCTGATGCTTTTTGGTGTTCTCGATGGAGCACTGGAAAGTAATCCTAACCTTGTGGATAATCTGTTCCGGGGGACACCACACAAGGATAGGGATTCTTCTTCAGTCTGTTTATTGGGCCACAAGAAGGATTTTTGGAAGGGTGAAGGGGAGCAGTGACAATTAAGAGGAAAGGAGTATACATTTTAGAGGCTGGGGAAAGGATACTTCTATTTATTACTCTTATTAGCTCCACTCATCTAGCGTATCTGTAGCATGGTTAGATTTTAACAACAACCATTTTACATACTACGAGAGATGTTGCCTAGCAGGTAACATGATGGTAGGGTTTGTAGCTCCCTGTTCTGCATAAGTGACTCTAAGTTTTAAGATGAAATTGAAATTGGTTTAATTAAATAGAGAGGAAACATCATAACATTTTATTATTTTATTCTTGCTCTCTCAAAGACCCACACAGACAGGAAATTGGTTATACGTTGGTTGGTAAACTTAACAAGTATATAAAATGCCATGTAATTCATGAAGTAAATGCAAAATTCTTGTGTCTTTCGGTTAGTTGTCATAGGTGTTACATGTGAAAACACTATTGTTTTTTTTTAAATTGATTAGGAAGTTACCAGTGTACTTCTAAATGACCCACGTTCTTTCACAAAGGTTTTTTTTCAGTCATTGTGTAACTTAGGATTTTGTAGTGAAATCTGGCCCCCAAAACTTAATGGGGACTTTGCTGTTGACCTGAAAGAAGTCAGAATTACACACTTTTTTTTTTAAGAGATACAAACCAAAATTACACGCATAATTAGTCATAGTTCTTCTCAAATGGAGTAAATTGTCCGTTGTTTGCTTAAGTCATCTTTTTAACAGTAATTATTTAGCAAGTTTCAATCAAAAATAATTAGTGCAGCATAAATAGTTTTGAAACTTGTAGAACATGACTGCAAAAGGCCAAACCTTTTTTGTTGCAAAAGCTTGAAGCCAAAAGCACTGCTAATATACTGTTCTTTAGTAAATAAAACTCCTTGGGCTTGGAAGTGTAACTTGCAGTCACTGCAGAGGGACAAGAGTATGGAGCGTCTGTCCTTGGGCTGGTAAACCGCTGGAATCACCTGGGGCAACTGGATGGCGTTTGGGGTGTGGTGGTAAATGCAGCTGCTGTTGTGGATTGAATTTTTCTAATGAATAGATGCAATTGAGCATAAGATCAGTGACATTCCAGCAACCTGAATGGGCTGTACTGTACTTACTGTACTTCCTTAGAGCATAAACAGCCACTAACATTGTAATTTAGAGTGGGCTGCAGCAGTTCTAGATGAACTGTGGAACGTTACACACTTTTCACTTTTTTTTTTTTCTTCCCCCTCCTTGTAAGCAAACTTTTCTTTGAGCAAGGGTGCCTTTTCTGCGTGAAGATTTCTAGACATAGTTTGGGCAGCTGTTTTTAAGAAAAAATGATGGTTTAGGATTTTTTTTACAGGCTGCGTACCTCCAGTAACATGCATCATGCACTGTACACTGAATAACTACGTGAATATGTGAAGCAGGGAAATCCTGATGCTTCATTTTTTTCCAGAGGCTTTTATAAATATCTCTGTAATAAACCATGTATGCCCTACCTGTGCCAATATCAGAACATTTCAAAGGGTAAGATCTGTCCTTTGAACACTAATTATAGTGTCTTTCAAGGAACTGGAATGGTGTTTGTGGGTACTGTAATGTATCTAAGAAGATCAAGCTGACCATCTTGTCATCTGTGTTACACTGAGTTCATGGAATTCACTTTGTAGAAGTGGGGTGGTGGTTGGTTTTTTTTTTAATTCTCCTTCTTGCATTCCAGGATTCTTTTGATCTCTTCATCATGGATTGCATCCTTTCTATTTAACCCATTTAGCAAAGATTCCACCCTGATTTGGGAACTAACGCTTGCTTTTGGGAAACTTTGAGAATGGGGAATACGATATTTCTCTCAATTTGAACAAATATTTGTACTTCTTTAAGTGAGGGAAATTCTACTATGCCAGGTGGAGCTTGGGTAGAAAGTCCTTTTGGTTTTACACAAGGATTTAGTATTCTGTTTTTTTCTTTTCTATATAGGGTTTTAGGTCATGCTTGTTCCCCTATAATCCCTGTGCCATCTAGCAGCGTTTTACTGAGCAGTATGACTTTTTATCCTATCGTTGGAGCAATGAGAGGAGGCAGATACAATGCAAAGTTTTGTTTTGGTAACAGACAATGCATGGCTGGAGTTTTGCTGGTAGTTAAAAGTATCTGTTACGATGTATTTGTTAAGAGGAGATGTCTAAAAAGACAGTTTGCCTTCAAGGTGAAGGGCAGCAAATTTTGCAATAACCCTGAGCAAACG